CAATATTTTGTTATAGTAATATTATATTACTTTATATCATATTAATAATATTAATATTATGTATTTTTATTATGTATAGGGAATAGTCATCAAATACAATACTTAGAACTTCCTTAACATTCCAACAGGTTATTACTCAAAACTTGTTTAAACATTCCAGAGCAAAATATTCAACTTTTCAAAAGATTTAAAAACATTCAACTTTATATCTTTCAGAAAATAAAGCGTACCCTTAGAGAGAAGAAGAAAAGAGAGACTTATTCTTCTTTTAAGAAAGAAAGAAGAAGAGAGAGAAAATTATCATTCTCGCGGAAAGAAGCAGAGAGAGAGTTATCAATCTTCTTAGAGAGAACAAAAAGATGAATTAGAGAGAAGAAAAAGATGAAAGAGAGTCGGTGATCTTCTTCGTAAGCTTTTCCTTTGTTGAGAGATAAAAGAGAGAGAATGGAAGAAAAACGAGAGAAAGATATAACATTTTCTTTTAGATAGAGAAAACTTTTATAAAAGAAAAGAAGTCTAAGAGAGTAAGATAAATCCTAAAGAGAGGTCTTTAGAAGAAATCAGTCACTCAAATAAAGTTGGTTTTTTGAAGACTATTGTAACATTTGAATTAATAGTGGATTCATATCTTTTTCCTATGGGCGTAGCCTGAAATGTGAACCACGCAAATCCGGTATCAATAAGATTTATTTCTTTAATTGCTTTATTGCAACATTTGAGTTAATAGTAGATTCGTCTCTTTATCCCATAGACATAGGCTGAAAATGTGAACCAATAATATTTATTTCTTTAATTGCTTTATTGTAACATTTGAGTTGATAGTAGAATTGCCCTTTTTTCCCATAGACATAGCTTGAAAATGTGAATTGTATAAATCCGATGTCAGTAAGATTTATTTTTTTAATTGCTTTATTGTATATTTTCCCACTCATACATACACATATGAGTTTTTGGCATATTTGCATCCCATATATATGCGTTTCGCTACGCGCATCCACATTCGTGTGAGAGAACTCTAATGGTTCTGCTGCGCACATCCACATTCATGCGAGAGGGCTCTAAGTGGTTCTGTTGTGCACATCCACATTCGTGCGAGAGGGCTCTAAGTGGGTGAGCACAACATGATTGGTAGGAGGGTCATGGAGATTAGTGCTGGAATGAGCGACTTAGGCCAGGTGCTTAGGCTTGATTCCAAGTACCCGCCAGAGCTAGGCCGAGTCCTGGCCAAGGCCAAAAAGTGGTAAAAACTAAGAAAAAAAAGAGTAAGATACAAAAAACATAGGAAATATCTTCAAAGTAAAATTAAGCAAAACACATATAAATGAGGTTAAAAAATAAGTGCAAATAGATTTTGAAAATATCAATTTGTGGTTGGGAGTATTTAAAAAATAATCCAAAAAGAGGGAAAATATATTTATTTTGCCAAAACACTTTATAATCATTACCAAAAATGATAGAAAATATAATAAAACATACTACTAATAAATTTATTAGTTTTTTATTTTTTATTTATTTTTTAACTTCATTTTAGATCATACACCTAACTGGGGGCTATTAGGCTCGCTATGGTGGCGAGCCCACCTTAGCCCGAGTTACTCGGGGCAAATTGGAGCTAACTCACCCGAGTAATCGAACACTGATAGAGAGAAGATGCCAACATTATTGTTGCCGAAAGGTCCACAAGAGAGAGAGGAGTCAAGTCAAATGCACAGCATTTAAAGAAGAGCATCTGGAAATATGGCTTACATATGAGAATTGAAGGCACTCCCAACTGTCGTCTCCCATGCAAAAGCCTATAAAAACCCCACCTTTTCCTTCTCATCCCACAACCAAAATACAAAAAACATGGCCATGACTAGCAAGTGGCTAATCCCTATGCTTGTGGCTTTGCTCGTTGCCAACACAAGCGCTAGGCAACTAGTGAACAAAGCTGGGTCACTAGAGGAGGCGAAATGGGGGCATAAGGGACTCGACGGAGGTGCCGGACTTGGAGGAGGATTTGGCAGTGGTGCAGGACTTGGCGGCGGTTTTGGACTTGGTGGAGGCGCTGGACTAGGAGGAGGCGGTGGTGGTGGATTTGGAGGAGGTGGTGGTGGAGGATTTGGAGGAGGAGGAGGAGCTGGAGCTGGAGGAGGTTTTGGCGGTGGTTCTGGACTTGGCGGAGGTGGTGGTGGCGGCAGGGGACTCGGTGGCGGAGCTGGATTTGGTGGTGGTGCTGGCGCTGGCGCTGGTGGCGGGTTCGGTGGCGGCATCCCATGATAATGTTATGATATGCAGTGTGTGTAGGGGGGAAGCCGTGCATGGTTCGATTAAGAGCCTTGTCTCCATGGTTTTTTGGCATTCAGTGCCTATATTGGCGGGGTTGTGTTGGAATTCAAATAAGGGATTGTCATGTATTTGACAAAGAGTATTGAACATAATAGTCTCAAATTTATCTGAAGATAATTTATTGCATATCATTGATCATGCGTTGAATATACAAAATTATAGAAGCTAAGAACAGGTATAAATCATGAACGCCTATACCATACAAACACTTGCTATAAAATACAAAAATCATGCACAAACTTCTCAAATACATTGGTTATTCTCTCTCTCTAATGCATTTAAAACACGTGCATTCTCTCTCTATATATATTATGGGACACCTCTCTCTCTTGTAGTGAGGCTTCCTCTCTCTCCCTTATTGATGTATTTAGAGTGATTTATGTATGGACATTAAAATTACAAAATACTTCTTTTATATGTGGAAATTACAAAAAAAGCTGTTTAATTCCGTTTTTTTTTTTTTTTTTTCAAAATTACTCATGGGTCAATTTGAATTTGGATTTTTTTGTTTTAGTTTTTATTTATTTATTTATTTTATCAGTATCGTTGTGCCTTAAAGCTTGGAACATTGCCCTATTAACTAAAAAAAATAATCAAAATTCTTGTTGACCGAAAGGCAATTTTGAAAAAAATAAACAGATAGGTTGACGGACAGTAATTTCCACGTATGAGCAATATTTCATATTTTACCTAAAAGTTTAAAGTCCCTACATAAATCACTCTAAAACACATGCAATATCTTTTTTTTTCTCATTGATGTTTTTGAAACACGACCAATCTCTCTATATTAGGGGGACTCATCCTCTCAACTTCGTATTCCACCCAACATTTATTCACCAAGTCTTACACCAAACCAGAAGTTGTATATTATTGTGTGGATATATAGATTAAATGGCGTATGAATGCTCGCAATTGATGTTGGGCTTCATCTCAAACGTTCATTGCATCCAAAATCCGCAGATGCCAGGGATGTGCATTGCACAAGAAACAAATAGGTTTCTGTGCTAGAGGTGTTTATATTGTACTCCTACGGTAGCATAGTGTGCATCTACTCCCGCAGTTAAAACACGCACTTGGGAGAGTTTTTGGTCGGATTTTTTTTGGCGACTGCATACGAACAACTAGATGATTATTCCCCAAAATAATTTGAATTTTGAGTTTCTAGAAACTTAGATCTTGCCCTTAAAATGATCTCTATAAAATCTCGAGACTTTATGTTTTTCTGGCCCATGGAGAGTTCAATTGAGAAATTTTTTAATTTATGGGTTGAAGAGGTTATATCTCCAATTTTGAGGTCCTAAAATTACTCTTGTATTCATAAATATATCTTAAGTTTCGTCTTATTTAGAAAAAATAATAATTTTCGTCTATTTAGAAAAAAAATCTTTAACTTTCTTCAACCTCGTCCACACTCTTTTTTTTTTTTAATTTAAATGTTTTTTTACCAAAATAACATGCACGGTAGTCGTATTAACGTGAAGCACAATTGCAGTACTTAGAGTACCATAAAAACTAAAATATTATAAGGCTTACAGTACCATAAAAACAAAAATATTATAGGGCACTACTAAAATATTATAGGGCTTAAAGTACCATAAAAACTAAAATATTATAGGATACTTGAAATGCCTTGTAAACCATTTTCTATTGTTTATATTTATCTATTTCATCGTGTTATATTTATCTATTTCATCTCTCTAATTCTTTTTATTTTTAGCTCTTCTTTCTCTTTAATTCTTTTCAATATTTATCTCTTATTTATCTCTTTAATTCTTTTTAATATTTATCTCTTCTTTCTCTCTCTAATTCTTTTTTATCTTTTCTTCTTCTCTCTAATTCTCATTCTCTCTCCAAGGAGATTTATATAAAAACCTTTAAACTCCCTTCAACCCCATCCCCTAAGAAAATTAGACAGAATCATATTTATATCGTGTTGAAATCGTGTTTGTTGAGTTGATGAAGCAAGTAAAAAGAGAAAGAAAGTTAGTGAAAGAAAAGATTTAGAGAGAGAGAGAGAAGAGATAAATATTAAAAATAATTAGAGTGAGAAAGAAGAAATAAATATTAAAAATAATTAGAGTGAGAAAGAAGAGATAAACGTAAAAAATATTAATAAAGAGTTGAAAGAGATAAATATGAACATGAGAAAAGGGTTTAGGGCCTTTTCAGTGCCATATAACATGATTTAATTTTTAGGGTACTTAAAATGACATATAATATGAGTTAGTTTTTATGGTACTTAAAATGACGATATAACATGGATTAGTTTTTAATTGGTTACCGTGAAGGTTATTTTGTTTAAAAAATACTCAAAATTGAATAAAAAGGGTGTGGACGAGGTTTATAAAAGTTGAGGTTTTTTTTTTAAATAGACAAAAATTAAAATATATTTGTGATAATTTCCATGAACTATATGCCATGGGAGTATAAAAATATTTTTGGCTAAAAAATAAGGAAAATGTTTATATAGAGGTTGTTTTGACTCTTGGATAATCCTCTAATTAATCATCTTGACATCGCGATATATGAATATGAGAAAAAAAAAAAAAAGATTTCAAGTCCTTAACCTAGTGTATTTTGCAATACATTATTTGAACTCTCTATTTTCAAAATTTTTAAGTATTTATAAATTAAAAAAAGTAAACAAAGATATTTACTTTTAAAGGAAAATATGATTAAAGAGGATGTAACCGTTTAAAATATAATTAAAGGAGTTAAATTATCCCTATTAATAAAGTGTTTGCATTGAGCAACAATAAGAGGCATTTCAGTAGTTTGACCCAAAGAAGCCTCACCCAGATGACAAAAATACCCCACGTTGTTGTGCAGTATAGATAAGTAACACTTTATTCAGTATTTGTAATGATTAATAACTTGATGTATTTTGCTATTCTATATTCAAACGCTTTGCATGTCTAAAATGGCAAATATACCCATAGTTGTCCTGTATTGTTAATATAAAACAAAGTGTTCCATATTTGTAGTGTATAACAACTAAGGGTATTTTTGTTATTCAAGTGAGGCTTTGTAGGTCAAATTATTGAAATATCCTACATTTTTTCCTCGTTCTAAATAATAGAAAAAGATAATTTGGATATTTTTAAAATATCTTTTTAAAGAGGTATCAAAGTGAAATGAAAAGATACGCCATTAAATATTCATTGGGATAGTTTGACTTCTTTAATAATATTTTAATAGTTTGTGTTGCATTTAGTGATATTTTTTCTACTTATAAATTAAAGAAGTCACGTTCGTTCTTATCCGTCATATTTCAAATTGGGTAGTTGTGAATGTTTAATGATTAGAACTAAAGCTAAAAAAAAATTCTTGAATATTGTGATGTACCCAAACCATCTAATTTGACATTCAATGGCCAGTAGCAATTGTGACTTTTTAATAATAAACATAAATGGTCTCATAATATATAGCCCTTTATCGATTTTCTATATCTATATTATTTTAAAATTTTAAAATTTTATAATTAGATGTCCAATATATTTTGGAATCATCTTAAAAATTTTTTGCACCAAAATTATATCTTTTGATAACGTGGTGGAGACCTTATTCAAACCCATAAAAGATTGTGTGGACCATTTATACTTGTTACCCAAAGGCAGATTTCAAATGAGATAGTTGTAAGAGTATTTTGATTAGATAAATTCTCAAACTTTTCGTGACATATTAACCAAACCATCCAATTTGACATCTAACGCCTACGGATGTATAGACCATTTATATTTGTTATCCGAAGGCAGATTTCATAATAGATGCAAAAGTATTTTGACTAGACAATTTTTCAAACTTTCGTCACATATTGTCCAAACCGTCCAATTTGACATCTAACGTCTACGAGTAATTGTGACCGCCTTTGTTTCGAACGTGCATTGTTTAGCATGCAGAGCGGCTGCTATGCCTTATGCACTATACATTGTGCACTGCACTCTCCGAATATGCACAGGCGGGTTTAGGTGTCTGTGCTGGTCAAGAGATCAGCATTGTGAACTTGTAAGTTATAACTGTTATTTGAGCAGCAGAGATGTAATGAAGAAGACAATCGCATTTGGTCGCTCGTTTCGGTTGTCATAGAGAGTGTGAGGGAGTTGGCGCCATGAGAGGAGGGGATGCAAGGAACTGGGACGAAGAAGGCTACAGGACGAGTGTCATTGAAGAGAGGGAGGCCCTAACCCTAACTGTATTCCGTACCGCTTTTGCCCCCTCCCCTAACCCTAACCCTAACCCTGACATCATAGTCGCTGCTTGCAGTGATGGCTCTGTTGCTCCCTTCTCCATTTCCTCTTTCATCTCCTCATACGTAAGTTCCATTATCGCCTCCTTAACTCTCTCCTTCTCTCTGTAATTCATAATCTCACTGGAATGTGATTCACTCTTTAATTTAACAACGTGTAATATAAATCTTATAATTATAAAGTTAACCTTTCCTCAAAAAAAAAAAAAAATGATTAGTGTATGAATGGACTCCTGTTGAACCATTCTGCCTTACAGTTTTCCATTGCTGTAGTTGGATTATTAGTGATTCTTTTTTTATTAGAGTTGTTTGTTTTCTCTTCATTTTTCTTTTACATATTCCTCATGTCTGTTTTTTTTGAGAAACCTTAACTTTATATAAAAGGTAACTGTAGAAGGTTTTAGTTTGATATGTCATCAATCTTATTATTTTCTCATTTGGCGCAACAACATGAATTATTTTGTTTGGCATCTGACATGCTTATTATTTATTTTTTCTGAAAAGTGTGATCTACTCGGAGCGTGTTTGTAATTGGAAATTTGTTGCGAGCGTAGAGGATTGGGAAATTGGATAGTATTCAAATAAGTCTATGTTTTTCTTTATATTCATAACATTCTTGCATTGTGGAATTGCTGATGATGTCGATTCTAGTGGTTGGAAGATGTACCATTGTGGTATACGCTTGGAACCAATCTGCTCCCCTTTTGTCTTGTGATGTAGAACAAGATGCCTCTTATTTTTTATTTTTTTATTAAATTAAGGATGTATTTTTGGAATTTCTAGGGTTATTTTTTTAATTTTTAGGGATTCTATTTTTTATTTTTTTTGGATTTTAGGAGTTGATTAGAAATGTAGTTAGAGTGCTTATGGAATATTTTGTTCCATCAGGGGTAAAAATGTCAATAAGAATTTTGTTTTAATTAGCCTTTTTATTTCAATTAGAATTAGGATTGCTTGGATTCTAGTTATGGTATTTTATTATGAATAGGAGTTTATAGAAAATTTGGAATAGAGAATTGAGATATTGTGTAGAAACATTATTTCGTTGAATTCTTGTGCATTCTGCAAAGCCATTTAAGATAGGCTTGTTAGCTTCGTCTTTTATTTTCCAATCAATAGATTATTGGATTTTCATCCTTGTGAAATTCTTTCTAAATCAATTGGTATCATAGCTCATGATTCTTGAGCAGCGGAATCGTAGGTTAAATCTAGGGTTTGCTGAATTCAGGCTAGAACGTGTTGATTTCAGCCTGTAGCTTGTTTATTTTAGCATGGTTTGCTGATTTTCTGCATTGGGTTTGTGATTTCGGTGAACTTATAGCATCAAGAAAGGGTTATGGAAGGGAGGCTCTCATCGACCTATCTCGAGATGCCAGAGATAAAGAGATTGAGGATCTCAGCAGGCGGGTTCAACAACTTGCCCAACAACTCTCTGGCATGGATCTTTCCGCCAAGGAAGTTACCAAGTACAAACCCTTTTTTACTGTCGTGCTCTACTTAAGGAGTTGAATGAAGAGGAGAGTGATAAAAGACTTAGACGTGGGGAACATCATTTTAGGGTTTTTGATTTGAAAGCAGACATTCTTGATTTTGATTAACATAATTGACTCACAACTAGGGGAGCGGTAATCTTGCTGCTTGTGAGTACGATTTGGTTCATGATATTGAGGAGGCCAACCATGAGAAATGTTTTATTTTTATCAAGTTGCTTCCAAATTTAGTAGGTTGTAGATTGAAATTTGATACATGCTTAGATGAAGAACAAATCTTGTAGGAGAATTGATCTATGATGATCAACATGATTTTGTGGCTGAATCAATCTTTGATAAACAAAAAGATAAAGGGCTCCAAGGAAAATCAACAGGTGAAGTTGTTGGTTCAACCAACTAATCCAGTGTTCATCTCGAAGATCCTCCCTTGGTATATTTTAGGGCTAAGCCAGGGCAATTTCAACAGGGTTATATGGTTGAACTGATGCAAATTTGAGCTAGTCATGTGACTGAACTGAGCATGTATATCATGGTTATTCCATTGACATAAAATGACCTTTTCCTTGAGGGTTTCTCAAAAGTGTTTATGAATATATCAAAAGATTCCAAAGACCCAATCTCAATAGATAATCACTGTGTTCCAATGCATAAGTCCCAGAATCATGTTTACAATGTTTGTGTTTAAGAAGACAATGGGCTTAGCAAATAATTCATCTTTACCTATTTCAAAATTCAAAGGCGAGTTTTCTTCAACCAAGGGAGATTGATGTAGGATAAGATGCATCTTATTTACGAGTTTTTCTTATGAAATTTTAGGGATTTATTTTTGGAATTTTCTTGGGTTATTTCTTAAGTTTTTAGGGCATATTTTATTATTATTATTATTAATATTATTATTCTATATTTTAGTATTTTAGGATTTTAGGAGTTGATTAGAAAAGTAGTTAGTGCTTAAGGAATATTTTATTTTATCTATGATAAAGAAATCAACTCCTCGTGGGCAATATTAACCTGTTGCTCAGATTGAGGTTCCTCAGCATAAACATATTCAAAATCTTCATCAAGGTGATGCTGAACATCCTCATCAACAGTACTCGGCTGACGAGTGTCATTAGGAGTGCAGATAGGGAGAACCACTCCTTCATTTTTGGAGTATGGAGTATGGAATATGGCTAATTATCTTGAACCATGCCCTCGCTGGCATTGTTTTCATCTTGCTGCAAAATAATTTTACATAGATTTTACATCCTCATTTCATCAAAGGTAACATCTTTTGATATAAGAATGCATCAAAGGTAACATCTTCTGATACAAGAACATCTTCAATTGTAGGTCTGTACCAATGATAGCTTTTATAACCATTGTCGTATCCAACCAAAACGCATGCTTTTGCCTTAGGACAAACCGACAAAGTTTCTTCCTTTGACTATGATATATGAACATAAATGTTGCATCCAAAAGATCAAAGAAATGAATTATCTGCATGCTTACCATAAGACATATTATAAGGAATTCAGCCATTCAAAACATGAGTGGGGAATCTGTTTATAACATAAATAGCTGTGTGAAAAGCTTCAATTCATAGATATTTTGGTACCCCACTAGCGAACATCAAGGAAAGGGCAATCTCACCAATATGCGGTGCTTTCATTCTGCTACTCCATTTGGTTGTGGAGTATGTGGACACAAAATCTATCACTCTACTTCATTATTCTTCAAGTAGTTTTAATGCATGAGTTCTCCCCTCACCTCCCCCATCCATCATTATGAAAGAACATAATCGGTCTATGAAAATGATTCTGAACAAAAATTTTGAACTGTACAAATTTTTCGATTACTTGAGACTTTTCCTTGATGAAATAAATCCAAGTACATCATGAAAAATCATCCGCTAAGATTATCAATATTTGGGATGAGAAGAACCAATTGGTGCAGGTCCCGACACATCAAAATGAATTAATTCAAAAGGCGAGGAAGCTCCTTTCTTATAATTGGAAAAGGGAATTTGGGAATGCTTAACTGACAAACATGACCTGAAAACAAAATCTAGCTATTAAACAATTGAGGGATTAAGCCCTCTTTACATAATCTACTAACTCATGACTGCAATGACCTAGACGGTGGTGCCAAACATTGGCATCCTCACTTTTTTATATTGTGGAAAATACTAGGAATTGCATCGGGGATTGGTCGGGAAATACTTCCTTCGAGCGTACATATGGCTATGGGACGATGCACTCTATAGGGAATGCTTCCTCTGAAGTCTCGAATTGGCATCCTCACTTATTAGAAATGAAGAGACTCAATATTGGAGCTTCTTTAATTTATCATTCAAGACATATAAATGTCTTTACCAAATCCCCTTAGGGAATGTTGTCCTAGATAATGGATCCTTCAAAAAAAAGTGGAGGACGGTGTAAAAATAAAGGTTGACTTATTTTCTTGAGTCAATTGAGAAACAGAAATGAGACTACGCTTGATATTAGGAACCAAAAACACATTATTCAAAAGAACGAGACCTTTAGAAAATTTTACAAGAGCATTTCCTACATGTGTGATAAGGAGTGAGGAACCATCTCCAGTTATTACAGAACAACCACCAGAATAGGGGATAAGGGTTAAAAATTTACCTGGATCACCTACAACATGGTTGGCTGCCCCACTGTTGACAATCCTTGATCATTTGGTGACGTCAATGTCATGACTTCCATTGAAGTGTTTAGGGCAGCAACTTTGTTTGCATATTATTTGAGCTTTGTCTTTTCTGATTATACCTATAGTAACAATCCTATGCGGTATGCAGTAGATTTGACATGCCACCTCGTTGTAACCCATATTTGCATTTTGTGGATAGTATTTGGGTGCAAGAAGAAGGCCATGCCCTTGATTGGGTCGAAGTGAAAGTAATCCACCTGCTCTTCCACGACCTCGATTGCCATTATCCCGTCTACCTCCACCTCCACCTCCACCTTCTCCATATTAAAAGTTGCAAGGTTGCTGCTGTGACTAACACTTCATGAGAATCTTGATTATGGATGTGTTTTAGTGTAGGTTGGCTATGAAAAAGGGCCTCATGTTATAGTAATAGGGCGCAACTTTGAAAATGTGAGAAATGGCAGCATAGCAGTTATTGAGGTAACAAACTTTTGTATTCACCCCTCAGGCCAGCTAGGACATAGTATACTTTCATTTTATCATTAATAGGTTGTTGAATCATGGTAAGCTGATTGCAAAGTCCTTCAATTCTCTATAGTATTCCATTATCATCATCTTTCCTGGTTTGCATTGCTGTACTGCAAGTTTTAAGTGCATTGCACTAACCTCTGACTCCTGTGAGAAGGATTCATGAAGAGCCATCCATAACTCTACAACAGTGGGCATTCCAATGACTTCTACAAGGATTTCTTTAGAGAGAGCTTCACTAATCCATCCAATGAGTTGCTGATCAGCAGCAACCCATTCTGCACATGCGGGGTTTGTGAATGAGATTCCAGTCTCACTTTTGATAACAAGTTCAGAAGGGTGTTTTGAAAAACCATTTAAATGTCCCATGAGTTTCTGACGACGAACAAATTG